AGCATCATTTCTATCACCAAGGCCATATTTTCCAACTACTGATCCTTCCTCTTTGCTCCCAACCTTTGCATTCCAATCACCAGTAATGATCAATGTATCTTGATTGCATGTTTGATTGATTTCAGATTGAAGGCATTCATAAAATTCTTCTATTTCATCCTCACTGGCTTTAGTGGTTGGTGCATAAATTTGAGTAATAGTGGTATTAACAGGGCCTCTCTGTAGGCTCATGGATATTATCCTATCACAAACAGTATTGTATGTCATGACAACAGATTGCATTAGGCAATTTGGCGGCTACAGATTTCTTTAAAGTGTTCAAAAGCAAAGAGACCAGTAAGGCACACCTGATCCAAGCCATCTTCCTGTGCAGTCGCCTCATATGCATGTGAAAGTTGGACAGTGAATAAAGAAGGCCACGGAAGAATCACTACCTTTGAGTTGTGGCCTTGCTGAAGAATATTAAAAGTACCATAGACTGCTGGAAGAGCAAAGAAATGTTTTGGTAGAAGTACATCCAGAGTGCTCCATACAAGTGACAATGGCCAGACTTCATCTCTTGTACTTTTGACATGTTCTCAGGAAGGACCAGTCCCTGAAGAAGGATATCATGGTTGGTAAAGTGGAGGGTCAGCAAAAAAGAGAAAGACCCTCAGGGAGGTCAATTGTACAGTACCGTTGTGTTCAAACATAGCAAGAATTGTGAGGAGGCAGCAGAGCAGGGCAGTGCTTCCTCTGTTGTGCACAGGGTTGCTATGCGTTGGAATCGACTTCACGAGCATCTAACAGCAATAGCTAATTGAGCCCTAATGCACAGTGGGAGGAGGGTTGGTGTTCAGGTCCACCAGCTGCGCAATCTGTAGGCCAGAGAAGAGGCTGTCTGCTCCAGTAAAGATTTGTTATCATTAGGTGCCATCAAGTTGGTTCTGACTCATTGTGACCCCATGCACAACAGAATGAAACAAGTCACTGGTCCTCTGTGCCACCCTCACAATTGTTATATTTGAGCCCATGGTTTGTGCCACTGTGTTAATCCATCTCATTGGGGGTCTTCCTCTTTTTTTTAGCTGACTGTCCATTCCTTCTCCAAGGAATGGTCTCTCCTGAGAACATGTCCACAGTATCTTGGCTTCTAAGGAACATTCTGACTGCACTTTTGCCAAGACAGTCCATGGTACCTTTAGTATTCTTTGAGAACACCATAATTCATATACATCTGTTCTTCTAAGGTTACCCTTATTCATTGTCCAACTTTCACATGCATATGAAGCGGCTGAAAATGCCATGGCTTGGGTCAGGTGAACCTTCGTCCTTAAAC